CAGACTCTGCCGATTTCAAATACCACTCAAATGCTTTTTGTTCATCTTTGATTGTTCCTTTTCCATTTTCATAACAGAGAGCAAGGTAAGTTTGTGCTATAGAATTTCCAGACTCTGCCGATTTCAAAAACCACTCAAATGCTTTTTGTTCATCTTTGATTGTTCCTTTTCCATTTTCATAACAGAGAGCAAGGTTTCTTTGTGCTATAGAATTTCCAGACTCTGCCGATTTCAAATACCACTCAAATGCTTTTTGTTCATCTTTGATTGTTCCTTTTCCATTTTCATAACAGCGAGCAAGACTATTTTGTGCTATAGAATCACCAGACTCTGCCGATTTCAAATACCACTCAAATGCTTTTTGTTCATCTTTGATTGTTCCGTCTTCATTTAATGTTTCTATATCTATTTGTTGCTGGTTCATGATTTCGATTTGATTTTCAGTTGTGTATGTGATAAATAAAGAAGACGGTGCTACATTGATTTTTAATTGACCCAAATTAATTAAATTTACATTTGTTGCTATCAATTTCCCATCTATTTTCTCATTTACGACATCATTTGTCGACCACTTTTTATTGTCTTGTGAATATGTTTCTGAGTCAGTTGGTCGTATTCTCTTTTTTTCCTCCATATTATTATTTTCTAAGAGCTCCATTTTTTCGAATCCGAAAAGTCAATATTGGAAGATGCTGAAAGTACGCCTGTTTTTTTAATTAATGACTTTTTATTAATTTCGAATTTTAAAATAGGCGATAATGCGGATTGATGTAAAAAAGTTCATGTACATGTATCTCTATTTAACGTTAACATATCCTCATGATAAACGACATGTGAATAGATGCACGTCTGGGTTCATTATGCATATCGCTGCTCAGAATAAAATTTTCCTGCCTATGATAATATTCGTCTTTATACATACATGTACATATAGCATTGAATAATCTAATTCAAACATTTCAAACCTGTAATTTAGTTTCCAATGTAAGAGAAATCTCAACCGGATAAAATTTATTATTATCTCTAATTTGCGTGTATAGTTTTCTCTTAACATTAAATTCTCATTTGTATGCATTCATGTACTTTGATAATGTAGCGTAATTTTATATATGTTTAAATTACTTTGATAATGTAGCGTAATTTTATATATGTTTAAATTATAGCAACCTTGAAAATCGATACAAGTTTTTTCACGTTTTAGAATATTCGATCATTCTTTTGTTACATAGAATGTAAAAAAATTTCAGGCGTTATACTAATGTTTAGAGTCTGTGGTTCGTCAGTTAAAGCAGTTAGTTTACATAACAAACAACGTATTTCTTGAGAACTCTTTTTAGTCATTAATCTATCTTATAAATTTCTTGCATTTGGTGTTATTTATTTTTCGTTTAATTAAATAAAAAATGAATAAATACCAAATATTTGAAATCAAAAATGAAGTTTGAAGTCGAGTGAGAATGCATTACAAAGTACTTTCTTTTGTTAAATTTGTTTAGGTTAATCTTTGTAACTTTTTCCTTTGACTTGACGTAGAATTATTTGATTACTTCTAATATAGAGCCACATTGTTACTTTATGTTTAATTTAATTTTTAAATAACGGTGCAAGAATCTTTGTATTAAGTAAATTGCATTGTTCGGTTACATCAGTAAAACCAAGCGCAAAAATTATTGAACCAACAAATATATTAGAATCTGCAACAAAAGAAATGATATCTTGAAAATTTCATACTAGCACTACGAATTAAGTAGGCACTTAAGTAATTTATAATTTTTTCTAAATTAATTTCTTTTTTTTGAAAACGCGCACTTTTAAATAAATTATATATAAAACTTAAGCTTTTAACATAAGCACAACAATTTATTTCGTAAATTACTATTTTTAACTGATTTCAAGAATTTTTAATTTTACATCCGCACGGAAATAATGGCTTTAAAATTTTATTATATATATTTAGCAAAGATTAATGTGCAAAATACATGGCTTCTCATCTCTGTGAACCTTTATTTCGAAATCCTGAGTAGAATTTTGATAATTGTGAGACGTCAGCAATCTGGCGCAAAATTTTACTACCGTAAAACCGCGAATAACGTATTATTTGAGTACGCCCATATGCGTTATTTCGCGGCAAAAGGTTGATTTTCTGTTAAACCTGTTTATGAGTTTACTCTTATTGGCATTGATCATACAGTAAAGATCATATGAATATGCTTCTTTTTGAAAGTAAGGGCGTTTTTCATTTTTCTTGGTTTTATGTTTTGTTTGTTTCGGGTGCAAACTTTTTGCTTTATTTACAAGTGAATATGAGCACAAAACGAGTTATACCAGCAGCGCATTTTAACTTATGGTAATTTCATATACAGAAACTACATCCAACCATCATATTACAAAATCGATCGGAATCGGTTTCAAGAATAATGAAAAAAAAGAGTTCGAGACTGTGTCCAGATCGAATTATATGCAATTTATCAAGTTTATCAATGATTTATATAGTGCACGTTAATTATAGCGGATGTGATTTTTGAAATAACGTTCTTTCGCAGGTTTACGGTAAGTCAACGTCTCTTTGTCCATTAATAAAAATGTTTAGCTTAAAGAACTGTATCAGGAACAAGAAGTTTTATTATATAAAATAAAAGATAGTGAAAGGAATATTGAAACAACTTTACTAGTAATAGTTCTTAAGATTTTTCAACATGTTAAATTGTATTCAAACCTGTATTGACATGGAAGGAAAATGCATCATGTGTTGATTTTTAAAAGCATGATACTGAGAAAAGTTTTATATATATAATGAAGAGATTTCAAAGCATTATTTAGAATATATCCTTAAAGCCTAAACATGAGAGTAATGGCGGCTAATTTTTAAAATATTTAAAGACAATTGCACATAATGAGTAGGAATAATGTTATTAATATGTCATATCTAAATAAATACAATAGTATTATCATTTGCAATTCCAAAGAAAAATATAGTCAGTTTTCTTACTGTATATTCGAGGTTGGATTATTATGATAATTATAATACAAACCCATAAAAAAGACTAGCCACGTAAAATTTGACAAATTTTATATATAATAACATGTTTCAGACATGATATTTTTCATTTAAATGATTTGAATTTGATGATTTGTGTGATCTGTGTGAAAAACCGTGCCCAAAATATGTTTATGTACAGTAGCAGTCAAAAGTATCTGAACACCTGTAACTCTTTAAATTAAAGATTAATTACCTTGAAATCTTCAATATAAATAATATAATATAAATCTAGATTCTATAAGCTTTTGCTATAATTTTATAATTTTTATAATAAAAATTTAAATGAAAACTGAATTCCAAAATCAATTTTTTTTTAAAATAATTATATCAATAATTTTCAAAATAAAAAAATTTTAAAAATTAATATATTAAAATTTAAATAATTTATAGGAGTAACAAGTTTAATAAGATACAGTCCCCGGCAAAAAGAATGGCAGTGAAAGTTTTCGTCTATATTTTAACAACGAAGCGTCCAAAAACGCGAAATATTGTATATATAATCTGTAGAATATCCGAACAAGATTTACTAACAGCACAAGCATGTTAGATTAATAAAATTTTGCGAAATTTCGCGTCAAATGTTGTGGATTTTGTTTTTCATGAAACAAGTTTAAATAAAAATTATTTAAAAATATTTTCAGTGAGCAATTTTGAAAAAATTTTTATGAAAATATATTTAAAATATAAAGAATATATCTGTAAATCTAAAAAAATTTTCATTTTGTGTTATTCAATAAATTCAGTTAAAAAAGGTCTTTAAAATTCAAAATTTCTTATCGAAAACATTTATAAATTATTTTTTATTTAATTTATTTCATACAAACACCAATCCGCCACTTTTAACGCGAGATTTTGCAAAATTTTATTAAGCTAATATTCTTGTACTATTAGCAAATCTTGTTCGGAATATCCTAAAGAATATATATACAAGCTTTTGTATTTTTTGGAACCTTCGTTGTTAAAATATAGGTGAAAACGTTCACCACCATTCTTTTCACTGAGAACTGTAGATTAAATTTTAAATTTTATTATATATTGTATAAAAAATAATTGAACACCAAGTTTAAATTTAAGTTTTAAACAGTTGTCATATTAAATTATGTCAAATTTTTCTGTTATTAATATAAAAATACTTAATTTTCATATAATAATTTTTATTTTTTCAAAAAGTTTAAATAAACAAAAAAATTTTACTATAAAATTTACAGATGTTCTGATATATTTGACTGATATTATTTATAAATTTTGTCTCATGAATAACAGTATCACTTTCACCAATCACGCATTAGCTCAAAGAAATAATTACTATAGCAATAATAATAATAGCAGCTTCGAGATGAATCCTGATAGTAATAGGAATAAACACGTTTTAGATACATGCTCACTGAGTCATTCAGATATTAATATCATATCTAAATTCATATTGAATAGGTAATATTACTCATTAAATTATGGTTCATTATAAAATTACCTTCTTATTATTAAAGAATTATTAAAATAAGTTATTATTTGTTAATGTCATGAGTACTTTGTAATCTTCTCAGTTTTTTTGACTTTTTTAAATTTAATGTGAATGAATACTATAACTTAAAACTTTATAATTCTAGCATGAGAATATTATCACAAGTCACAATCTTTTATATCAAGTTCTCATAGCTATAATAGTTATTAATGAATATTGCAAATAAAAACTCTTTTTTTACAAGAATTGCTTTACTTCATTCATCTTCATTAATGTCACTTGACAGAAGAAATCATAGACACCTTATTAACAATTAACTATATGTAATAGCTATTATTTGATATCTTGTTGACCTATACTAATTTTTAATATCTGTCTGAATTAGAGATGGCATAGCAAGTATGTAGTGCTTATTTGTTACCTGTTGCAGCATGTTGCAACTCCAAAATTTTATAAGTCACAACTAGTTGCAACTAGATGATGCTTTATTTGTCACCATATTGCAACAGTTGAGGAGCTATCTTTAGTCTGAATGTTTAGTATCTTATATTTGATTTGTTTCTTATAAACTTTCTTGGAAAGTTTCCTTATATTTCTTTTTAATTCTGTGTAAATTTAGAAATATTTGTTGTATTCAGAACAGTTCTTTGACATAATGTTCTAATTTATTTCATAAATGCTCAATTAATTTGTGATCTGGTGATGGTGTGGGTCTACAGCACATTTTAATCATTTTCTGAGAGAACTGCATATTGTTTGTTAATATGACAGTCATTAGTAAATTTAATAGATATCAGATTAGCGATGATCAGTAAATATGCTGATCATTGCTGATTTTTTGATTACACCAACCCAAAATCTGTGCAGAACTCTGAAAATAGAAATTTTGGAGAAGTGTAACCTGAAG